TGTCGTTGTTGTGGTTTGTGGTTGTTGGTTGTTGGTTGTTGGTTGTTGGTTGTTGGTTGTTGGTGGTTGGTGGTTGGTGGTTGGTTGTTGGTTGTTGGTTGTTGGTTGTTGGTTGTTGGTTGTTGGTGGTTGTTGGTTGTTGGTTGTTGGTGGTTGTTGTTGTTGTTGTTGTTGTTGTTGTTGTTGTTGTTGTTGTTGTTGTTGTTGTGGTTGTTGCTGTTGCTGTTGCTGTTGCTGTTGCTGTTGCTGTTGCTGTTGCTGCTGTTGCTGTGGTTGTGGTTGTGGTTGTGGTCGTGGTCGTCGTCGTCGTCGTCGCCGTGGTCGTCGTCCAACACCAACATTGAGTACCTTTTGGTCCTTCATTTGTGTTATTTTTTTTGGTTTGAAGGTATGACCACAAAATGAAGAGTCCAGAGAGGTTCAAACTGATCGGTTCCAGGGCCTTTGGGGAGAGTTTGTACTCGGGTTGGGATCGCTTCCCGGATCTCAGTATGGCGACATCGAAGAGGCCGCCTTGCTGATCCAGCGAGGGCGCGAAGCCCATGTTGCAGATGCCGAGGGATGCCGAGGCACCCTTTTCACTTTGGCTTAAGATCAAACAAAGGGGATTTTTGTTTGTTGGATCCCCTGTTTTGTCCCCTGTTTTGTCACCGAGTACCAAGTTGTGGGGGCCCCAAGCGCTTGGTTTGAAGTGGCTGTTCCATTTTGGAACAGGGATGGCTTAAACCTCAGCGTTGCCGTGAGGCCAAGGGGGATGGTTTGAGTCTCAAAGTTGATCTTCTTTGGGCCATTCGAGGCCTCAAAGCCGAGACATGTGCCAGACCTTTGGTTGAGTGAGCTATCCCCAGCTATTCCCCCGAGGCGTTTAAAGGGAAAACGCCCATGCCAAGTAAAGTGTTCCTCCAAAAGGGACCCTTTGGGTTTATGTTAGCTAGTGGGACATTGGCACAGGTCAAGTGTGTTTTTCAGCACTAGAAGCACATGGAAGCAAGCATCATTGCTCCGGGAATAGTTCTTGGATGGGGTAACTAGTCAAGTTCTTTACGGGAAAATGATCTTGTTCATTGTTGTGTTCCTTCACACGAGGAAATACTCTTACTGATGATGAGCCGAGTTCCAAGCTAACTTCGTAGTACTGCGGATGGGTTTGTTGTCTTCGGTGGAATGCACCGGTTGGTCAAAGCCAAGTAGTTTATCCCCTGCGGTACAGGATTGTTTTTGAACAGGGTTTCCTGGTGATTATTGGTCGTCCAAGCTTCTTTTTGTTCTTTGCCCCAAGTCTCTAGTCTTGCCCAAGTCAACAGTAGGTGGTGCTCGGTTACTACACAAAATCAAACCTAATCAGAGCAAGGCCGCTACCGAAAACAGGACAGGGCAATATGTCCGTAGAGAGCCAAGGCTGGCCAAGCCGGAAACGGTCGCTGTCCCAGACGGGGATGGCCGAGTCATTTTCTCATTCAGTTGTCGGAGGAGGGGGACTTTAGGAAGGGGGACCAGCTGGAAGGGCCTGGGTTCGCGTGCCAAGAATGCTGAAAGTGATGGGCTTCCTTTGACGCACGCCCTTAGCAAGACTCGCGTGAGCAGTTGGATTTGACTTTCGCGGTGCGGAACTAAGCTGGATCTCGCTGTATTGTTTGGTAGCGAGATCACGTCATCATACGTCAAAACCAACCTTCCAGCACGAACATAGATTTAGAAGCTTTGGTTGCACAGAGTTCTCTAACAGTAGCAACATGTTTGGATTGTTCCTTGTGAGTACTCTGTGTGTACTTGTATCCTATAGGGTAGGGTGGATCCGCACAAGCCCGCATCCGAGAGTTTTAACAATAAAAGGAGTTGCGCATGAGGTCGCTTTTCAGCAATATCTTTGGTCCTGGCACGGGATTCGACACGGATGCTTTCAGAGTGGCCCAAAAGATCTGTTCTTTTAAGTCCAGGTGTTGACGATCATAAATCTGCCTATTTATAGCGAGCTCACTTGGGTTCTAGCGAGCTCACCATGATAGGGTCCTGTACTTGGGAATCCCGTAATTCAGGCTTGGTATTATAGCAAAATTGCAAATGAATACGATATTGACTTGATGCTGGTAATGAGTCTCATAGTTGTCTGTCCAAATTGCCATGGCTCAAGAGGATAGCTGCAGGTCAGATGAATCTACTGGAGATGTGCCAAACACCCACCGGCAAGGGCGTTGCCCGATTTTCTGCCACCATTCGCACGTCGTGGGTTTGCTACACATGTGACTTCATCCGATGCACGCTATCCATTTTGGTATGTGTCATGGGCCCTTAGCGGGATTTGAGACAGCCAACGCAAGGAATCCTATTGAGGAATCCATGACCATGAGCTACAATACGAGTTTTGACCATGGCAGATAATAGGTTCCATGATTATGTTTCATTTTGCATGGGACGGTTGGAACAGAGATGCGCCCAGGTGTCGCCGCCCACAAACACCACGGCTTTGCATGCTGCCTGCCGCGCGCAGAATCTGGACATGGCACGGAGGGCAAGTTTCATCAGATCCAAAGACGACGGCTTGCCGGTGCTACAATTTCCCCAAGTTAAAGACATCACGGAACCCAGCGGAGACTTTCAGGGGATGGGGGGGGAGGGTGCCTTTCAAGCATTGCCATTCAGAAGTGCTTGTTGCGATGTGAGTAGCTTCTGAGCCGAAAGTCACAGACACAGGGATGAACCAGCCTCAACCAGCAACATTACCACAATATCCATCAAACCTGCAGCGCCATTTCAAGGCGTGTGACTCACATTTGCGTCAAGCGCTTCAAACATCCGACAGCCTCCGGTTTCGGCTTTTCCGAATGGCTCAAGTACCCGAAGCGGGGATGGAATTCGCCAAACTTCCGATGCAGATTTTCGTGAAGCTGGCCTCCACAGGCAAGCGCCCGGCGCTGGAAGTGGAGGCGCCGATTGATTTTTTCCCCAAAAACGTGCGGAACGCGCGACATCTGGACTTCTTGCGGCCCCCAGTAAAGAGGGGGACCAAAGGAGGTTGTATGAACAATAGGGGTTAACACATGCTTCAACAGCAGGGGCCTTCATCTAAAAAGGGAGCCCAGATGTGGAGGTTAGTTGAAGCGGTGTTTGTTTGGAAACCCTGGAGGCTCATGATACCATCACCTCTGTCAAGAAGCAGATCTCCGACAAGGATCAAGAAGCTGCTCCCGACTCATAAGAGTAGAAGATGTGTAAACAAAGGGAACATGAGGGGTCAATAGTCTAGGGGTACCTTCCCCATTCTTTCCAGGGATCCTTCTTTCTATAAACCTTCGGACCCAGGGAAGAACGATGGTTGAAGAGAATGGGGAATCAACCCCTAGAAATAGGGTAAATGAGGCAACAGGGCTGCTCCAACTGCCAAAAGAGAGCGGTTTAGCAAGGGGTTCCCTATTGCTGGGACCCTCAAAGTGGGAAACCGGGTTTAGTGCCACCTGTGACGCCAAGGGAATCACCTTTCAACGGACGGAAAGGGCGATTCCCACAAGCATGCACAGGTAGCAGGGTTGCTCCGAACCATTCCTCAAGGATGACCAAACCTGCGGGTAGATACCTGGCGATTTGTGTTTGACCAGTTTAGTGATAAGCCAAAAGAAGTGTTTCCACTTTTCAGATTAGCCAAGTTCAGCTGAACCATTTTAGTGATGAGCAACATTCTTTGGGGCCACCCTCTCATCGGCCCAAGCCCTGAGGAGGGCATCCCGCCCGAGCAGCAGGTCTTGTACTTCGCCGGGCAGCTCGGCGGAAATATGATCGCTCTTCTTTTTGCAGGCGGTTGCAGGTTTTGTTGAGAGTCCCTGGCCAAACCCCAGGCAATCCAGGTTTGGTTAAAAGTCCCTGGCAAAAAAAAAACGGCTCAGGTGGGGGGTTGTTGAGAGTTGTTGGCAAAAAAAGCCTCAGGAAGGAACTTCTGGACGACTGCATCCTTTCCTCTTATGACATCCAGACCGACTCGACGCTGAACTTGGAGCCTGGCCACCGAATCAGCGCCTCAGCCCAATATCCGGTATCCCACGAAGCGCTGGGCGGCGGGAGAACCTCATCTAGGTCCCCAGTAGTGCCCTTTCACACTTTTTTGGGGAGGGGTTCCCTACCAAAGTAGACTACAGCAAAAAGGGTGCCTTTATTCTAACCTCTCTACTGGAGGACCTAGTGATGCATATACCCGCAAACCCGGCAAGCCGGAGGTTCACTGCGAGAAGCCCAGCTTCTATTTTTTTCAAAGGTCGAAGTCTTTATGCACGGAAGCTGCATAGCTCAGCAAGGGACACTTTTCCCGGCCATAGCTCGGCGAGGGACTCCGCCCTTGCGACTCGTTCCCATCAAACCTTTACCAAATTCAGGTATGTTGATTCGGAAGAAGACAAGGAGTCTTCCATGAAAGGTTTTTTTGTACACGTCCATGATGGGTTGGTACGATATGTGGTGGCCAACGCCATGATTCCTTCGTGGTGGTTTGGAGCTCAGACAATTCTGCCGATCTCACAGCCTTAGGCGGCACTCGCCAGCCTCAAAACTCATCATGAACCCCTAAAATCCCTTGGCCTCGCTTCCTGGGTTCTTGGACTTTGACTTTTTAGGTTTGGACCATTTCGGTAAACTAAAAAAAGTTCCAGGACTTTTTCTGGATCCACCCAGGAAACCAGTCACTAAGCTCCCCCTGCTCACTCCGTTTTTCGGGAGCCGCAGGCGTCACGGTGCAGAAGATCTCGGGGGAGAGCTCCCAGATGGAGGCGCTCTCCACGGATACCACGCAAGAGCTCAAGGCCAAGATCGCCCGGACCCAGCAGCATGGTCGTTGGGAAACATGTTATTCTCATTTTTGCTTATATTGTGGTTTAGTGGGAAGGTTGTTGGGCAACATGTTTTTATTTATTTGTTTAAACATGTTTGCGTATATTATGGTTTAGTGGTTGAAATCCAACCACTTGACTGCTAAGGTTTTAAATTTGTTTGCTCCCCTTCCAACGTCAACCAAGGCAGATCGCGGAGGCGCGCAACGTCGAAACGTCTCGCGTGAGTCACGTCCAGCCGTCCAATAAAAACCGATTCGGGTAAGGTTAGGGACTGTCGAATCCAGAAATAGCTGCGGATAATGATATATCCGCGCTATGAATTCTTTACATGATTCTGGGTGGACCATTTTAATACCAGGCTTTGATTGTGACTCACCAGTTGAACAGGTGCTAAGCGGGTTCCGGCAAGCACCAAAGGGACAAAAATGGAGGTAGCATGCTAGAAGCCATGTTAAAATCCATTGATAATATTTTGGGGTCACCCTACAATCAGCTAGCAGTCGTCTTCATGGCCTCAAGCACACCACTATACCCCGAAAAGGGAATCAGGGACCAGGGAATCAGGGTATATACCTTTTAGCTTAATGGCGGCTATGCTGTAGTGGCTGGATGCGCTCAGCAAGTCCGCCTGGTTTGGCTGAGCGAAACAAATCGCAACGGCAATTCACCCAAGATGAAGGACCCTTACTTGGATTGGGTCCTCAAGATGTTGTTTGTGGCCCATTTAATTTCAGAAGGGCCCGCCATGGGGCCCGCGTTTGCGAAATACCAGAAAAAACTCAGAACAACATGCACCAGTACACCATTCCCATGTACTCTGGAAAAGGACATGTGACCCAAACATCGAGAAAACCAACCAAACACACAAACACCTCGAGAAGACCCAACAAAAAAAAACCGATCCCTTGGGGACATGACCAGTACCTCCAAGGTTTTGTTCGGGGGATTTTTGTTCTTCTCTCGGTTTCTCGAGGCTTTGGCACTTCCCGCATTGTCCCCTGAGTGTTTGCCGAGTTCTTTCGTGTTCTCTCAGTGTTCCCTTAGCATTCCCTGAATATTCCCCAAATCTTGGCATAGTCCTTTAATATTCTCCTGCCCCTAGTGTTCTCTCAGCACTCCCCAGTATTCCTTTAATATTCCTCAATATTCCCCTAGTATGTTCCTAATATTCACAAGACGTCCTTAGTATTTTCTATTCCTTTAGCATTATCTCACCCCTAGTAGTTGTATTCTCCTAGTATTCCCCTAATCTTTCCCTAGTATTCCATAGTATTTTCTTGGAATACCCCTAGCATTCTCCCAATATTCCCCCAGTAACCCCAGCATTCCTTAGTATTTGCTCAGTTTATTTGTAGTATTCTCTCCCAGTATTCCCCTAGTATTCTCCTAGCATTTCCTCTTGTTATTCCCGTGGTATTCCCTTATTATCCCCTCGGTGTTTCCCTAATTCTTTGCTACTCAGAAACTGGAGCGCAGATGCAGGATACCAGGGAAGTACAAAGGGGAATGCTGGGGCAATACTAGGGGAATATTTGGAGAATACTAGGGGCATACCCAGAAAATACTAAGGTTAGGGGAATACAATTCTAGGGGAATGCTAAAGAAATACTATTAGGGGAATACTAGGGGAATACAACTCTAGGGGTAAAATAATTCTAAAAGAATAGGGGCCTATTCGAGGAATAGTAAGGGGAGTGCTAGGGGAATATTAAGGGAACACTAGTGAATACTATGAACATGCTAGGAGAATACAGACTACTTGAGGAATGTTAAGGGAATCTCGGAAAACACTGAGGAAATACTAGAGGGTACACCAAGAGAATACTAGAGGAATAGTAGGGAAATACTGAGGGGAATACAGGGGGTTTGGTAGGGAATTACCAAGAAGCTGCTAAGGGGAAGATTGAAGGAATATTTGGGGAACACTTGAATACTGAGAGAAGATTTGGGGTATACAAGAAAATACAAAAGGAGTTAGGGGAATACCAGGAGAATACAGAGAAGATTATGAGGCAATATGTGTGGAATATTCTGGGAGTACCAGGGAATGATAAGGGGAATACTAGGGGTATAGTAAGGGAGTACTAGGGAAGCACAAAGGGTGAATACTCGAGAACAAAAGGGGAGTACTGAACAAAGACTTGGAAACAGTTACTAGGGGAACACCCACTGCAGGCATCTTTCCTCTCCCTGCTTTCTGGCAATCAGTGTTCTCCAAGGATTCCCTTGCTATTCCCTTGGTATCCCCCTAAAAGATCCTCAGAATTCCCCCAGTATTCCCCTAATTAGCACCCTCCTAGTAATTCTGTCTCTAGCATTCCCCCAGTGTGGCTTTGTTATTTTCTTAGTATACCCCGAATATTCGCTCAGTATTCCCCCAATGTTCCCCAGTAATTTTCTTGGTAGTTCACTAGCATTCTCCTGGTAATCTGTGTTCCCCCAGTAGTCCTCTATCATGCCCTCGGTATTCCCAAACAGCTCCTTTAGTTCTCTCTTGTTATACCCTCTAGTATCTCCTCAGTCACCAAAGACCGCATGTGCAAGAAAGGTGAATCCACATACGCCAAGGTGTAAAATGCTGATTTCAAAAACACAGGCCCCATGGCGGGCCGCTCTCTTTAATTTTGGGAGGCACTCACAACATATGCCATCGGACCAGGGCATTAAGCCGAGCGCCAAGAAGAAT